GTTAACCAAACCACGATCGAGTACGGCAGCTGATGCCAGTAGACAGGTAGAAAACAAGGGAGCACCAGGCCACGAAATCGACGAATTGACCTTTGATGAAAGCGGGAAAAGATGTGCCAGTCACCCACAAGCGAATTTGACCAAAAATTGTCTTGTGTCGAAGGATAAAGACCCTCGTGTTGTAAATGGTACCAATGACACTCGACAACATCAAGGTTACGCTGGACGCGCACCACCAAAGGCAGATGCAGCAGTTTTACAGCGTAAGACAACCAGGATGCTCTTCATCACCAGCGTTGTGTTTCTCCTGACCTGGCTACCCTACTGGATCCGTGTTGCTGCTACGATTGCTTCATACTCCGACCCACTGTTCAATACGATCCTCCAGCAGCTCTCCGTAACTCTTTACGTCAACAACGCCGTGAATCCACTGATTTATGGACTTGCCAACAGACGGTTCAGGAAAGACTGCAAAGCAGTTCTCAGTAGGATTCAGCTCTGCTATAGATAGACACTAGTTGATGCGATTCGTTGACTTTACGTATTTGATGTTTGAATTGTAAGTACATATACATTTAGGACACATTTTTTGACAAAATATATAATAAACAGAACCACAGAATATGAACACAAAAGGTGTTCTACAGGGTGAGTAACCAAAAAACGAAACCCAAATGTAGGGACCATTGTTTTAGGGAAGTTCTGAATGTAGCATTTTCAAAATCTAGGATATGGAAGCCAAATTTTAAGCTTTCTTTAAGTACAAGAATTATTCAAATCACTTATGAAGTACAAGAAATATTCAAATCACTTGTGTACTTTTCAAGGTACAGAATAAACACAACCACCGTTTTAAGGTTCTGCCCACGGATCACAAAAAAATAAGTGTTCTTTCACAAAAACGAAAAGAAATCACATAGGGATGTGTGAATTGTTTTCGTTTTGCTGAAAGAACGCACGCCTTTTTTTGTGATCCGTGGACAGAACCTTAAAACGTTGGTTGTGTTTATTCTGTAAGTTGAAAAGTACATAAATTATTTGAATGATATTTGTACTAGAAAAAAGGTGATGAACTGGGCTTTCATATCCTAGATTTTAAAGTGCTACATGCAGAACTTTAATAAAACAGTAGTCCCAACATTTGGGTTTCGTTTTTTTTTTACTCACCCTGTATAGACTTTTAATTTTATGAAGACCCGAGTATTTTGGGCTGCTCGTGGCCGCGGGGCACATTGTTTCCCCATCCTCATTTCAATGTGCAGCAGCCGTATTTATTAAAATTTGGTTGCTAACCCACAAAAATGACAACAATAGGCGCTTTACCATATTTTGGGTTATTTTTGGTTGAAAACAGTATTTTTCACGTAATTTCTACACTTTTTATCCAAATTGTTTCAAATTAAATACACACTTTCTTCGGGTCAAATACTCATCAAACTGAACAACATTTGGCATCCAAAATCAGCGACAGACTACAAAAATCCGAGCGCTATAACAATTTTTGTTTTGCAAAATCGAATTTTTGCAATTTTGTCCAGAAACGAGATATTTTTTCCATGTTATGAAAGAAGTTTTATGAATGTTTTTGATTTATGAGAACCCGAAAAGAAGAAACACATTTTGCAATTTTTTCCCGCACCCATATTGGTTTCCCAGCATGCATTGTTGTTGGTCAAGTGGACATGAATTTTAGTCTAAAGTGGATACTTGATGGATTCAGGCAAAGAAAACATGGTTTTGACTCACAAAAAAATGCATATTTTTGTTGCATTTAATTCAAAATGACCGGTTTATAATAATCATTTCGCTTGTAATGGTAACAACTGACATCTTATAGTATAGTTTTGGTAGCATGTTGCACTGGGCCCCATTGAACTTAGGATAAGTGACCAAATTTCATGCCGATCAGCCTAAGCGTTCCGGAGCTGTTACAAGAAGTTGAATAAGGAGGCACATTTGTGTTGTTGTGATAGTATGGAATGAATGGTAAGATTCTTGTCTTCGATAAATCTCAAGGAGTCAAAGAGAGAGCTGGCCACATACGGCTTTCTTGATTTGCCTTTTATTCAATTTAAGTCAAATGAAGGTGTATTTATCTGTGAGTCATGTAGTAATGCGTCGAAAATAATTGCACAATCGTTCTTGTTCAGCCTCATAAAAGGGGGGGGGGGTTTCAAAGGTAATGGCAAATATTAACCAGCTTCAAACCAGCTTTTGATTTTGATTACAGCTCTTCCTGGTTTCTCCAATTTAATTATCAGAGATAGGAAAAACATCAGTTGAGCGATTGCACCATGTACCGCGATTCAATTACGCCAAACAAAACCAGTTCCTGTACACACCCAGATTAAATGTATACCTCACAGAGACTTGTTTTTTATGTTTTAAAAGCTTAAGTTGAAAGCGTAGTGTTCAATAGGATAACGGCTCCTATTCACTGGAGATGCATGTCAACAAACAAGGAAAAAGCAACACAAAGCTGCTACGTACAATGCTTTGCTGATCATGAGCGAAATTTGGCACGCGCATGACCATGATTTGCCAACCTAGTTCCAATACCCAGCAAGAAATGTTAAATCACATCGCCAACACGGTCAACATGGGTGGACCACATCGTCTCCGTTGTACGTCGCATTACATATAAATATAGGCAATAGGTAATGCTGCGGAGATAGTTGGCGGAGTGCTTATATTACGCCTGGCGGACCTGGATAGACGGACAACATTACAAAGTAACGTCCGCTGTTCGTCTGAGCCAACTTTAAGAGGATACTTTTAACATCAGTTTGAAGGGAGAAACCCCAGCCATGGAAAACACTTCGTTGCTGAATTGCACGTCTGCTTTTGAAAACACAGACTCGTATTCAGGCCTGTCTGACACGGCTGGAAACATATTCCAGCTGATTGTACAGAGCATTGCTATCCTTTTCGGCACACCTGGCAACTGCCTCATACTCCGTGTCTACTGGACAAAGACTCTGAAAACCAGTACCCATGTTCTGATCATGGCCTTAGCCTGGGCCGATCTGACCGTCTGCGTGCTGGCTGTGCATCGTATTTATGATAAGGTTGCTGATATGGCTGGCTATGAGGTTCCGCAGTTCACATTTATTATTTGGGCTCTTGGGACAACAGCCATCGGTACGTCGATTATGATGACCGCTGTGATCGCAGCGGACCGCTACGACTGCGTATGCCGGTCACATCTCCGGTTCTTCACCCACAAACGCGGCAAGATAGCAGCTGGGGCAGCATTTGTATTCTCACTGGTCATCAATATTCCTGCCATCATCCCAATAACCGTCAAATTCGCTTCGCATTCGCTTCGCATTCGCTTGCGCATTCGCTTGCGCATTCGCTTGCGCATTCGCTTGCGCATTCGCTTGCGCATTCGCTTGCGCATTCGCTTGCGCATTCGCTTGCGCATTCGCTTGCGCATTCGCTTGCGCATTCGCTTGCGCATGAAGTATGAACCAGGCTTTATACTGTACAATCGTTCTTGTTCGGCTTGTTCAGAGAGAAAAAAAAATTGTAAGCATGTGTAGATTCCGAAATTCGCTTATTCACTTAGCGCGGTAAGTGACAGCACCACCAATCGGTGACACCCCATTCCCCAACGTGCTTTGTCTCTCACCGCTGGCCGGCGCACCGCTCGCACCGCTCAAATAATTAAGTTAACCAAGTTTCTTAATAACAAAATAAACTATACATCATTATCCCAAATACGGACTACATTCTGTCTACGCAACTGCGCATAGCTGTGGTGAGGCCAAAAATGGCTAGACTTACTTCCAGCCAATATAGACCAGTTTCCACCATTATAACAAGTGATCTTTGTTATCATTTTATTTCATTTCGTGACTTGAAAAGGGTCACGATTCACAGTCAGTACCTGACTCGGTGTGTACTTTTAGAAACTTTAATTGTGCCAATCGGAAAGTTGTTCGTAGTGACTACTTTCTTCTGTGAGCCAGTACCAAGCTTTTGAAGCAGAAGATCCCGATCTGAAATAATCTCCCTTTAAGGATATTTGGTAGTCCGCATTTGACTTGTTATTTCCACTTGTACAAGTAAAACCCTCTCAACGACGATCGTTTAGAGCTGCATGGATGACTTCGGGTTTATACGCGTCAAGCTACAATAAACAAAATCACTATGTAAATAGAAATAAGACTTCGACCAGGTTTCTTCTTTCATATAAACTCTGGACCAAGATGAACACCAGAGTCAGATGGGTAATTTGATTCCTTCTAGCCATGTGATGGTGTCCTCGTCGAGTGTAAGTGTTTTTGTGCTAGCATTTGTAATTGTTTTTTTGTTGTTGAAATGTTTGAATATTAATTCTTTTTTGGGGGTACCGGTGAGCAAATGTAATTTACTTGATTGATCGATAAAGTATTTCAATGCAGTTCAAATCAATTCAATCAAAATATGCCACGATAAAATTTCTATACACACCAATATTAAATTATCTCACAGAAACCTGCTCTGATTTTGAAAGCTCGATAATTTCCTTCACTCAGACCAGCTCACGAAAAAAGAAGAGGTTATTATCTATAAGCACTTGAGTTGTCTTCGTCTATTGGCACGTTTCTCACGCAATGCTTTGAAAGCCTAGTATTGACCAGGATATTTATAGAATATGCTGCCAGTCTCCGGGGATGTGTGTTCCCAACAAAATAAGATCAAAGGTTTCAAAGCCGATATTTATAATGCTTCGCTGATTTATATAAACGACATTGGCACGCGCGTGACCGTAATTTGCCAACCCACCTCTCAAAACACATCAGGAAAATTGTTAATGGGGCCGATCACAATACGTCGTCTCCGCTGTGCGTCACATTAAGTATAAAAGGTAATGCTGTGGAGATAGTGCGGGAGTTATTTCTTCTGGCGCACCATTATAGACAGACGCATACAATTGTAACATCTGCTGTAGAGTTGAGACGCCCTAAAAATTTAAGAATTTTAACACAATTGTGTTGAGAGAAACTCAAGCCATGGAGAATACTTCAATGCCGAATTCCACCTCCATTTTTGAAAACACTGAGTCGGATTCAGGCCTGTCTGACACGGTTGGAGACCTATTCCAGCTGATTGTGCAGAGCGTCATTTTCTTATTCGGCGTGCCCGGTAACTGCCTCATACTCCGTGTCTACTGGACAAAGACTCTAACAACCAGCACCCATGTTTTCATCATGGGCTTAGCCTGGGCCGATCTGGCAGTCTGCGTGCTGGCTGTGCATCGTATTTATTATCAGGTTTCTTATATGGCTGGCTATAAGGTTCCGCAGTTCACGTTTATTTTTTGGGCTCTTGAGACAACAGCCATCGCTACGTCGATTATGATGACCGCTGTGATCGCAGCGGACCGCTACGACTGCGTATGCCGGCCACACCGCCGGTTCTTCACCCACAAACGCGGCAAGATATCAGCTTTGGCGGCATTTGTATTCTCACTGGTCATCAATATTCCTGCCTTCATACCCACAACCCCTGGATCTAGCGAAAGTCAGTCCGTGGCCCTTTGGAAGTTGGCATTCCAGGTTATTTGCTTCGTCGTTGCGCTCGTGATGATCGCCCTGTGTTACGGCAAAGTCTACATGACCATCAAGAAACACACCAAAGTCGGCGTCAAAAGTACCACTCGAGATTGCAGATTAGCGGACCAATGTTCGACAAGGCCACACGATTCCGTGCTCACAAATGTTGAACCGAACATTGCTGCCGTCTCTTCCGTATCGACGTTAACCAAACCATGCTCGAGTACGGCAGCTGATGCCAGTAGAATGGTAGAAAGCAAGGGAGCACCAGGCCACGAACTCGACGAATCGACCTTTGACGAAAGCGGGAAAAGATGGGCCACTCACCCACAAGCGAATTTGACCACACATGAACTTGCGTCAAAGCATACACAATCTCGTGTTGAGAAGAATGACAGTTATCCTCGCCAACACCAAGGTAATGCAGGACGTGCACAACCAAAGGCAGATGCAGCAGTTTTACAGCGTAAGACAACCAGGATGCTCTTCATCACCAGCGTTGTGTTTCTCCTGACCTGGCTACCCTACTGGATGCGTCTTGCCGCTGTGTTTGCGTCCTACTTCGACCCAGTGTTCGAAATGATCCTCGGGCAGCTCTACGTAACTCTTTACGTCAACAACGCAGTGAATCCGCTGATTTACGGACTTGCCAACAGACGGTTCAGGAAAGACTGCAAGGCAGTTCTCAGTAAGATTAGGCTCTGTTAAAATGACACTAGTTAACGCGTTTTGTTGTCTTAATTGTGAGTGTACCTTGACTACACCATTTTTGACAAGCAGAAAATAAACGGAAATTATATTTATGAAGACAAGAGGTGTTGTAAACTTTAACCCTATCGTGACCGGAGCGTTTGGGTCTACTGATGCGGCGACCGATTTTTTTTCGACCGATTTTTTCGTCGGTGTTGTACAATATGACGTTGCGGTGCCGTCACAACAAGAGGTAGCTTAACTATTTTGGCCCATTTTTGGTCAAAATCAGTAGTATTGACATTTCTTTTACATTTTTCATCAAAATTGTTTTTCAAATTTGGCACAAATGTTCTTTGGGTCAATTCTTTTGGCATCCAACGTTACCGACAGTGGGCGGTATACTAACTTTTCTTCTTAAATCAAGATCCCCTTTTTTGTGTCCCAAAATTTGAATTTTTCAACCAAATTTGGCACCAATGAAGTACTCACGCTAGTGTATCGAATGCTTTGCAGTTTGCATTGATAGGTCTCCTTTAACAAAGACAATTGTGCAGAGAAGGTGACATTTGTTTTGCACCAAGGTTGGCTATATTAATTTCCCAATGTGGATTATAATTGGTCACTTGACCATGAATTTTAGTCTAAAGTAGATACATAATAATAATAATAGAGAAATTTATAAAGCGCAGACAATCGCAGAAAAATCCACCTCAAGGCGCTTAAACAAAGAATAGACATACAAACTGTATTATTTAAGTTAAAAAACTAATTCCAATAAAACCTTAAGACAATACAAAAACAATTCAAAAAGCTGCATGGGGGGCCTACAATCTAACATTTAAAAAGCGATTTAGAACACACAAGCAAACATACTAGATAAAACAGGAATAAATAGGTATTTGCCAATAAAATACAACGATCAAACCTTTGTACATGGAAAACACCAGACAGACAGTCGTCGTGAGCCCGGCAGAAGGGCATATGTGCATATGCCCTTATGCAATAGCGTGTAATAACCAAAATGTTCCCAGCAAAAGGGCATATGCAGAAAAATGCCTCCATTTTAAGGAAATTTAAACAGTTTCGTCAAAATACGCGCGGGGGAACATTGGAACCTCTTAATGCAATTTTCTTGGAAATGATTTTTGTGTCAGAACGCTCATTTTATGCCCTTCTGCCGGACTACTACTACTGTAGCGCAATGCATGTTATAGAGAGTGCACTTTAATTCTTTACTGGCAGCCAGCGGAGTGCGCGTGCACTCACCCAGGTGTATGGGGACACCAGCCAATAGCCCCAGTGTATATAAGCACTCAGCTTCGCTCTCTTTCTGCTGTGGCTGTAAACCGAGCGCGGTCTCATGAAGTGTTCTCGCGAAAACACAGACTCGTATTCAGGCCTGTCTGAAACGGTTGGAAACATATTCCAGCTGATTGTACAGAGCATTGCTATCCTTTTCGGCACACCTGGCAACTGCCTCATACTCCGTGTCTACTGGACAAGGACTCTGAAAACCAGTACCCATGTTCTGATCATGGCCTTAGCCTGGGCCGATCTGACCGTCTGCGTGCTGGCTGTGCATCGTATTTATGATAAGGCTGCTGAAATGGCTGGCTACGAGGTCCAGGAGTCCCATTATATTATATTTCCTCTTGAGACAACAGCCATCGGTACGTCGATTATGATGACTGCTGTGATCGCAGCGGACCGCTACGACTGCATATGCCGGTCACACCGCCGGTTCTTCACCCACAAACGCGGCAAGATAGCAGCTTGGGCAGCATTTGTGTTCTCACTGGTCACCAATATTCCTGCCATCATCCCAAGAACCTCTGCCAGCAAGCAGTCATTGGAACTTTTGCAGTTAGCATTTCCGGCCATTTGCTTCGTCGTTGCGCTCGTGATGATCGCCCTGTGTTACGGCAAAGTCTACACGACCATCAAGAAACACACCAAAGTCGACGTAAAAAATGCTACTCAAGATTGCGGCGTCTCGCGATTAGCCGAGGATTGCTCGACAAGGCTGCATGAATCCATATTAAAAAATGTCGAACAGAATATTCCTGCCGTGGCTTTCATGTCCACGACGTTCATAAAGAAACCATGCCCGAGCACGGACACTGATTTCAGCACAATGGCACAAAGCAAAGGAGCATCGAGCCACGAAATCAACGAATCAACCGTTGAAAAAAGTGGGAAAAAATGGGCTACTCACCCACAAGCGACATTGACCAAACATGTCCTTGTGTCAAAGACTACTGAATCTTGTAGAGTGAACGGGACCACTGACCCTCGCCCACACCAAGGTGCAGGACGCCCAAAACCAAAGCCAGACGCAGCAGTTTTACAGCGTAAGACAACCAGAATGCTCTTCATCACCAGCGTTGTGTTTCTCCTGACCTGGCTACCCTACTGGATTCGTTTTGCCGGTACATTTGCTTCCTACTCCGACCCAGTGTTCCATATGATCCTCGGGCAGCTCTCCGTCACTCTTTTTGTCAACAACGCCGTGAATCTGCTGATCTACGGACTAGCCAACAGGCGATTCAGGAAAGACTGCAAGGCAGTTCTCAGCAAGATAAAGATCTTTTAGAAAGACTCGGTTCGTTTTCTTTACGCATTTGATGTCTGAATTGTAAGCGTACCTATAAGACACCGCTTTTGACAAAAACATAAAATAAACAGAAATATGAAACAGAACACAAGAAGGGGGGGGGGGGGGGTTCCGCCATGATCCCCCATTCCATTTTTCATATTGGAAGGAATGTTGGTTGCCCGCTAATCCCCAAAAATTGACAACCAGAGGGCGCTTTACCATATTTTCGTTAATTTTTTATCGAAAACAGTTTTTGTTGCATAATTTTTGGCATCCTGGTAGTACAATCACCGATAGTGGGCCTTATACACACTTTTGTTTTGCGAAATAACATTTTCAAAATTGTCCAAACAAAATCTGCACTAATGACGTACTTTGTTTGATGAATGCTTTGCGTTTATAAGTACCCCAAAACAAAGAATTATTGTGCAGAAAAGGTAATTTTTGTCGCGCTAATGGCGGCCATATTGATTTCCCAGCATGCATTATAATCAGGTGACCATAAATGTCAGTCTAAAGTGGATACTTGATAGGCTAGGGCACAAAAAATGACTCATACACTTAGACTACCATCTGAAGATTAAGGCCGAATCATGACGTCATACATATTTCCATTTGTTTAATAAAAAGTGACCAAATGTTATGATTACCATATCGGTTACCATGGTAAGCACCGACATCCTGTAGCATATTTGGTACCATGCTGACCCCCGATAGAAGTTAGGAAAGTTCACCAAATTCCATGCCGATCGGTCTGAGCATTAAGGAGCTATTTACAAGAAGTTTAATCAGGTCGCACATTGCGCCCACGCTCCTGATAGAGTTAGTAACTCAGTAACTCAACACGGTAACTCTTCGTACTTTTCATGCAAGTTACATTATATGGAACGGTAGGCTTAAGGAAAACGAAAGATACAAATAGACGTCGTCCTTCGTCTCCGATACCTTCTAATGAGTCAAAGAGAGAGCTTGCCACATAAACTGATTGCTTGATTTATCCAGATTAAACTTCAGTTGTATGTTTCACGGATAATTTGAGTTTGTGATGCACTCTTTTCCATATTGTATTGATAAGAAAGTGTCATTTCAACATTAAAACAAAAACTGGACACATCAGCATATAAATTACCCGTCGTGCTATTATTTGCACCTTTATGTCAATTGCTACTCTGAAATAGCTTATTGATATAACTTTGACGTCATAAAGTTGACGTCAAAACGTTTGCTTTATTGATAATGGAGACTTCGCGCAATACAGTATAAAGCCCGGTTCATACTCGGGCGAATTTCGCAGCGAATGTTTCATGACGTCAAATTCGCTTCGCATTCGCTTCGCATTCGCTTGCGCATTCGCTTGCGCATTCGCTTGCGCATTCGCTTGCGCATTCGCTTGCGCATTCGCTTGCGCATTCGCTTGCGCATTCGCTTGCGCATGAAGTATGAACCGGGCTTTATACTGTACAATCGTTCTAGTTCGGCTTGTTCAGAGAGAAAAAAAAATTGTAAGCATGTGTAGATTCCGAAATTCGCTTATTCACTTATCGCGGTAAGTGACAGCACCACCAATCGGTGACACCCCATTCCCCAACGTGCTTTGTCTCTCACCGCTGGCCGGCGCACCGCTCGCACCGCTCAAATAATTAAGTTAACCAAGTTTCTTAATAACAAAATAAACTATACATCATTATCCCAAATACGGACTACATTCTGTCTACGCAACTGCGCATAGCTGTGGTGAGGCCAAAAATGGCTAGACTTACTTCCAGCCAATATAGACCAGTTTCCACCATTATAACAAGTGATCTTTGTTATCATTTTATTTCATTTCGTGACTTGAAAAGGGTCACGATTCACAGTCAGTACCTGACTCGGTGTGTACTTTTAGAAACTTTAATTGTGCCAATCGGAAAGTTTTTCGTAGTGACTACTTTCTTCTGTGAGCCAGTACCAAGCTTTTGAAGCAGAAGATCCCGATCTGAAATAATCTCCCTTTAAGGATATTTGGTAGTCCGCATTTGACTTGTTATTTCCACTTGTACAAGTAAAACCCTCTCAACGACGATCGTTTAGAGCTGCATGGATGACTTCGGGTTTATACGCGTCAAGCTACAATAAACAAAATCACTATGTAAATAGAAATAAGACTTCGACCAGGTTTCTTCTTTCATATAAACTCTGGACCAAGATGAACACCAGAGTCAGATGGGTAATTTGATTCCTTCTAGCCATGTGATGGTGTCCTCGTCGAGTGTAAGTGTTTTTGTGCTAGCATTTGTAATTGTTTTTTTGTTGTTGAAATGTTTGAATATTAATTCTTTTTTGGGGGTACCGGTGAGCAAATGTAATTTACTTGATTGATCGATAAAGTATTTCAATGCAGTTCAAATCAATTCAATCAAAATATGCCACGATAAAATTTCTATACACACCAATATTAAATTATCTCACAGAAACCTGCTCTGATTTTGAAAGCTCGATAATTTCCTTCACTCAGACCAGCTCACGAAAAAAGAAGAGGTTATTATCTATAAGCACTTGAATTGTCTTCGTCTATTGGCACGTTTCTCACGCAATGCTTTAAAAGCCTAGTATTGACCAGGATATTTATAGAATATGCTGCCAGTCTCCGGAGATGTGTGTTCCCAACAAAATAAGATCAAAGGTTTCAAAGCCGATATTTATAATGCTTCGCTGATTTATATAAACGACATTGGCACGCGCGTGACCGTAATTTGCCAACCCACCTCTCAAAACACATCAAGAAAATTGTTAATGGGGCCGATCACAATACGTCGTCTCCGCTGTGCGTCACATTAAGTATAAAAGGTAATGCTGTGGAGATAGTGCGGAAGTTCTTTCTTCTGGCCCGTCAGTATAGATAGACGCATACAATTGTAACATCTGCTGTTCTTTTGAGACACCCTAAAAAGGAGAAACTCAAGCCATGGAGAATACTTCAGTGCCGAATTCCACCTCCATTTTTGAAAACACTGAGTCGGATTTAAGACTGTCTGACACGGTTGGAGACCTATTCCAGCTGATTGTGCAGAGCGTCATTTTCTTATTCGGCGTGCCCGGTAACTGCCTCATACTCCGTGTCTACTGGACAAAGACTCTAAAAACCAGTACCCATGTTCTGATCATGGCCTTAGCCTGGGCCGATCTGGCCGTCTGCTTGCTGGCTGTGAATCGTATTTATTATAAGGTTGCTTCCATGGCTGGCCATGAGGTCCCAGAGCTCACATATATTATCTTGGCTCTTCAGTCAATAGCCATCAGCACGTCGATTATGTTAACTGCTGTTATCGCAGCGGACCGCTACGACTGCATATGCCGGCCACAGCGCCGGTTCTTCACCCACAAGCGCGGCAAGATAGCAGCTTGGGCAGCATTTGTATTCTCACTGGTCATCAATATTCCTGCCTTCATTCCGAGAACCCCTGGATCCAGCGACCAGTCATTGCGTCTGTTGAGGTATGCATTCCGGTTCCTTTGGTTTGTCGTGGCGCTCGTGATGATCGCCCTGTGCTACGGCAAAGTCTACATGACCATCAAGAAACACACCAAAGTCGGCGTCAAAAGTACCATTCCAGATTGCAGCGTCTCTCGATTAGCAGATGATTGCCCGACGAGGCTGCAGGATTCCGCAGTCACAAAAGTCGACGCGAACATTCCGATCGTGGAGTCCGTGTCGACGTTCATCAATAAACCATGCTCGAGCAAGTCAGCTGATGGCAGCAGAATGGCACAAAGCAAAGGAGCAACAAGGCACGAAATCGACGCATTAAGCCTTGACGAAAGCGGGAAAAGATGGGTCAGTCACCCACAAGCGACTTTGACCAAACATGGACTTGTGTCGAAGGATACAGAATCTCGCAGACCCCAAGGCAATGCAGGACGCGCACCACGCAATGTGGATACAACACTTTTACAGCGTAAGACAACCAGAATGCTCTTCATCACCAGCGTTGTGTTTCTCCTGACCTGGCTACCCTACTGGATCCGTGTTGCCGCTACGTTTGCTTCCTACTCCGACCCAGTGTTCCATATGATCCTCGGGCTGCTCTACGTAACTTTTTACGTCAACAATGCCGTGAACCCGCTGATCTACGGACTTGCCAACAGGCGATTCAGGAAAGACTGCAATAAAGTTTTCAGTAAGATTAAGCTCCGTTAGAATGACACTATGGCTAATGCGATTCGTTGTCTTCAAGCACTTGATGTCTTATTTGTAAGTGCTTTGACACAATTTTGACAAAAATATGAAATGAACAGAACTGACAGAGCATGAACACAACAGGTGTTAAACAAAATGTATAGACTCTTAACTTTATCACGACCTGGGTATGTATGGCTTCTTGGGGCCGGGGGAGGGGGCAGCACCTTATTCCTTATCCTAATTTCGATATACGGCAGCCGATTTTCCTTAAATTTTGCCAGGAATGTTAGTTGGCCGCTAATCCAAAAAATGACAACAAGAGGGCGCTTTCCCATGTTTTCGCAATGTTTTTTTCCCGAGACAGTATATTTCGTGTAAATTGTACATTTCGTCCAAACACTTGCAAATTTGATAAACACTTTCTTCGTGTTAAAACTCATCCAACTAAAACAACGTTTGGCATCAAAAATCATAGATAGAAGGCTCTATATACGCTTGTGTTAGGAAAAATCACATTGTATTGATTTTGTTCCAAACGTTCGACCACATTCGGCACTAATGACGTAGTTATGATAGTCTTGTGAATGCTTTGCATTTATAATATATACCATATTGTGCAGAAAGAGTGAATTGTCCTTTTTTCGCGCCAAGTGCGGTCATATTGGCTTTCCAGCTTGCATTGTAATTGTTTAGGAGTCCTCGAAGTTTACTCTTAAGTTGATACTTGATATACGGGCAAAGAAAATTGTTTGGCTAAAAAACGTTGATTAAGGCCAAAACAAAATAAGTCTCCGGTTTCTAGTATGCGCGCGCGTCGCCGTAGCCATGTGCGTCGGCAAAATGAAAAAGTTTTGTTGTCAATGAAAGATGATGTCTCAAAACCACCAAACTCACTGGTTTGACTGGAATCCTGCTGCTGCACAATTTTAACGTGTTTTTAGATGGGGTTATGATCGAGAATAAGCTTTATGTGGCCTCTCTGGACTCCCATATATTTGCACTAAGTTTAGTCGGGCACCATTTTGCAGTCATCCGCCGACATTTGAAGCCCAAAAAAAAACAGGTAAAAAAAAAAGCCCCGTCGCCGCACCACTTTTTGGGCAAGCTCCATACCAGAAACCGGAGACCTTTTTGTTTGGCCTAAGCGCATTTTAACTGGATTTCAATATGGACCTGCGGACATCTCGTGATTTTTGAGAAGATCCTGGATGTGGTTGTTTACGATACCGTCACACGCTGAACGCGGAAGTGGCTGGCGGTTATTAGCGGAAATTCTCACACTACACTTACTTAGCAAACAGTATTAATAATAAGTTGGCGTCGCGTCACTCTTGATTCCACCGCCGACCGGAGAAAAGGAAACATTTTCGCCGATGAAATTAAAAATCACAAAAATCTGCAACCGTCCTAGTGTCTTCTGTAATGTTTTCTCCCCAATGCTTCATCGTGGTGAAGATTGGTGGGATTCGAGGTGACATTACTAGCACAGTCCCGTAAAAAGTGGTCCGGCAGCCATTCTACACAAACCCCCAAGCACCGTCGGGTTTTGTGCACAAACCCTATCACTCGGCCGATCACACTAAATTGACTTCGGCAAAACCGCAAGCCTCATCATAAAGAATAAGTTAACCGGACCAACTTTTACGAGTGTGTGTTCCTAATGGAGGACTTTCCAGAAATAGCCCGTATAGTTTTGACAAGATTTGTTCATTGCCATCGTGCTTTTTCGTAACGGTTTACGTTTGCTTCGGTCGGCTCTATTCGTTGACAGGCTGACCTTACTTTTTACACGGCACGGCACACCGCACAAGAAACTATTACTCGCTTCACAATGAAAAAAGTCGCACTGTTATCCTTACTTTATCGGGAGAGTTTTTCATAATTGGTAAACAGTTTCCGATATTTGCATGTTTTTGCTTACTTACTTTGTATCCGACTCAATATTTATGAACGTCCAAGTTCTTACGAGGGTAATGATTATGAAGAGTTATCCTTAATAAATTTGAGTTGGAAGTTTTGACGGATAATATGAGTAAACTTCGGTCATATTTTGACGCAATCTTTTCCACTGATGCACTGTATCGATAAGAAAGTGTCGTTTCAAGTTTTATACAGTTACAGGGCACAGTTCGTGTTATTTATTTGCACCTTATTTTCAGTTGCCACTCTGAAATAACTCACTGATATAACTTTTTAAAGATAAATTTGACTTCAACAAACCTTAGGTCTATTTACAATGGCGACTTCGCGCAACCTCACCGTCTTAAAAGCCTTACGAAATTCTTGTTCAGCCTCATAGCAAAAAGGGGAAAAGAAAAGAAAATAACAAATGAAAAGGAAAAAATCACAAGACCTATCATGATCCTTCCCGGCGCCTCCAATTCAATTAAAGAAGAAAGGACAGACATCAGATGAGCGATGGCACCACATACCGAGCTTCAATTGTGCCCCCGAACAGTTCATGTACATGTCCAGATTAAATTACCTCACAGAGACCTGCCCTGCTTTTGGTTTGGTATAAAGCTCAATAATTTCCTCTAGTCAGACCAGCTCACGAAAAAATGTCAATGTCGATGAGCGGCTGAATTGTCTTCGTCTGTCGCCACGTTTCTAGTTAAAGAGGCAATGATTAATATACAAGGATGTCTCCTTGATAAGAAAAACGGTTACAAAGCCCCTACACACAAAGCATCACTGATACTTGGCCAACCTCCCTTTACACGTTTGTTAAATTGGAATGATCACACGAAGTGACGTACACCATGCAACGCTTACTTATATAGGTAATGCTGCGCAGATGCTTTCCTCTGGTGCACCAGTATAGACTGACATATTAGAGTCGTTACATTTGCTCTCCTGAGCCAACTTACCAGGGAAAATTTTGTCGAGAGAAACTCCAGCCATGGAGAACACTCCAGTGCCTAATTCTACCTCGTTTTTTGAAAACACAAAATCAGATTCAGGCCCGTCTGATACGATGGGAGTTATATTCGAGCTGATTGTGCAGAGTGTAGTTTTCTTATTCGGCGTGCCCGGTAACTGCCTCTTACTCCGTGTCTACTGGACAAAGACTCTAAAAACCAGTACCCATGTTCTGATCATGGCCTTAGCCTGGAATGATCTGGCCGTCTGCGCACTGGCTGTGCATCGTATTTATTATCAGGTTGCTTCCATGGCTGACTATGAGGTCCCGGAGTTCACATTTATTATCGGGGGTCTTGAGGATATAGCCATCTGTACGTCGGTTATGATGACTGCTGTGATCGCAGCGGACCGCTACGACTGCATATGCCGGCCACAGCGCAGGTTCTTCACCCACAAACGCGGCAAGATAGCAGCTTGGGCAGCATTTGTATTCTCACTGGTCATCAAAATTCCTGCCTTCATACCCAGAACCCTAGGATCCAGCGACCAGTCCTTGGACCTTTGGGAGTTGGCATTCGAGGTCATTTACTTCGTCGTGGCGCTCGTGATGATCGCGCTGTGTTACTGCAAAGTCTACACGACCATCAAGAAACACACCAAAGTCGGCGTCAAAAGTACCACTCGAGATTGCAGCCGCGTCTCTCGATTAGGGGACAAATGCTCGACACGGCTTCAGGATTCCGTATTCACAAATGTCGAACCGAACGTTCCTACCATCGCTTCCGTGTCGACGTTGATCAGTAAACCATGCTCGAGCACGGCAGCTGATGCCAGTAGAATGGCACAAAGCAAGGGAGCACCGAGCCACGAAATCGACGAATTCGCCCTTGATGAAAGCGGGAAAAGATGGACTAGTCAACCAGGAGCGACTTTGTCTGAACTTGTTCTTGTGCCAGAGGATACAGAATCTGGTCTTGAGATTAAGAACAGTAACCCTCGCAAAGCCCAAGATAATGCAGAGCGCGCACCACCAACGGCAGATGCAGCAGTTTTACAGCGTAAGACAACCAGGATGCTCTTCATCACCAGCGTTGTGTTTCTCCTGACCTGGCTACCCTACTGGATTTATGTTGCCGCTACGTTTGCTTCCTACTCTGACCCAATGTTCAATGCTATCATGGAACAGCTCTCCGTAACTTTTTACGTCAACAATGCAGTTAATCCGCTCATTTACGGACTTGCCAACAGGCGGTTCAGGAAAGACTTCAAGGCAGTTCTTAGTAAGATGAGGCTCTGTTAAAATTACAGAACTATATTGTAAGAGAACCTTTTAAATGATTTACACTCAAAGTTTAATCTAACAAAGGTACTGTTAAAGCTTGTTATATTTTGGGTGATATAAATATATATCTGTTAAATTACAGTAGTCAGTCCTCAAATGGAACTTTTGTTAGTGAACTTATTAATAGTCTTTCTGCGGACAATTCTGTTCCTATGATTTTTATGGCCAACTCGAAATGACTCTGAGCTAATTTTTTCACTGATCAATATTATTTTCAAAAAGTAGAGTAGATTGAAAAGTGGCCTCCTTTATTATAAAAGTGATCTTTGCTATTCTATTTCATTACGTGACTTTAAAAGGGTCAAGATTCACAGTCAGTCCCTGACTCGGTGTGTGTACTTTGAAATGCCATGTGTTCAGAAGCAGATTACATGACCCCAATGACTTCAAGCCCAACCTCGTCCTCAGGGTGTCGAGCAGTACGCGCCCAGCACTACCTGCTCTCTCACCCTGGTATTGGATTACTTGCATGTGCAAGATTTTCGAACACGTATGCAAATGAGGAATAGTCTGGTGCCTGCATATGCGTTACATTAGTGTTTGTTTTGTATGCGATATCTAGGATAAAAACAGCATTAATTCGTCGCGCCGTGAGTTATGAAAACATGATTGTTTTCGAGGTTAAAATGTTACAATCTTATCCTGCCAAATTATGCAGTATTACATTTCATACTAATATGAACAAACTGGAAAGGAAAGGAGTATTTCTGAGATAGCGTGGACGTTATATAATTACAATGATCGTGAAAATACGTAATGCACGTTGGAAATAACAGCACCAAGTACACGATATAAATCCACTACGGTATCG